CATCTTCACTTCCTGCCTCCCGGATCGTCCTCCCTTGACCTGTCACAGTTTTCTCCCGCTAAAATCCAGGCCAAACTCAGGCATGCGAAAATTCTGCTCCGGGTCCTGATCGTCTCTCCTACTCCCACTGGCGGGAGCTCGATCCTGAGTGCAGAATTCTTTGTGACATCTTTAACATCTGTCTGCGCTTCAAGCGGATTCCCTCGTCGTGGAAGTCTTCGAGGTCTTTCCTGATTCAAGCGAGGTGATCCTTCCATCCTTGACACTGGCGACCGATCGCTCTCAGTTTTTCCATAGGCAACGTCTCTTCCTGGCTGCCTCGCCAAACGTCTGACTGCATGGCTCTGCGACAACGATGTGCTCTGTTCCTCCCAAAAAGGGTTCATGCCGCATGATGGTATCCTCGAACATCACTTCATCGTTCAGCAGCAACTTCAGCTCGCTCGCCGCCGGAAGTCTACATTGTGCCTCGCGTCCCTGGATATCGCCAATGCGTTTGGCTCCATTCCACATGTCGCCCTCTTCACTGCTATTCGCACGTCCGGAGTTGGTGAGGACTTTCTCTCCTTGGTTCAAGATCTACCGGGAGTCTTCTACCTGCTTTCTCTCCTCGGACGGTGTCTCTGGTCCCGTAACATGTGTGCTGGCGTTCGTCAAGGTTGCCCTTTTGAGGCGACCTGCTGTTCAATCTTGCCATCGATCCTGTGCTCCGGTCCATCGTTTCCTCCTCTGCTTCTCACGCATCCTCGCCTTTGCCGATGATGTCCTGCTGTTTGGCTCCTTCGCCTGATATTCCCAACATGACTTGGACTCCATTTCTGACTCCTTCTCTCGTCTTGTCTGCACTTGAATCCCAGCAAGTGTCACTCGCTTCACTTCTCCGCCGCTCGTCCTGCTGGATCCCGTTCCACTATGTTTTACATCAAAGGCTCCCCTCAGGGCTCTCGACGATGGCGATTTTTCCGCTTCCTTGGGAACGCCCATCGGGTTTCACCTTCCTCCCTGCCGGGCTCAGTGCGTGACTTCCTTCTCCTCGCTGAAAAGATCATGGAGTCGAAGCTTGCTCCGTGGCAGCGTCTGATGCCCTCAAGTGCTTCTTCTTTCCTTCTCCATTTCCATATGAGGACTGGACTGCCTTAGCAAGGGAGACTGGAAAAGATCGATGACTTCCTGCGGCCTGCCATCAAGAAGACACTCAACCTTCCTCCGAGGCGTCCAATAGTTACATCTATGGCTTGTCTGGTAAGGGTGCCCTCTGAGTCCCCTTTCCGCAGAAGATTCTGACATCGCTGCAGTGGATGACGCCTTCAAGCTCCTTTGTTCCAAGGACTCCTACGTTCGTGGTCTTGCCTGGGAGGACCTATGTACCTACATCCATGCTCGCATTGGCGAGACGCCGTCTCATTCTCTTGTAGGTCTCTTCTCTCGGCCTCCGATGATGCTCCCCTTTGCTTCCTCCACGAACCCCATCTCCTCGATGTGGTCGGCCGCAAGGTCGGCTTCTAGACGCTCAAGGTCTCCTGGTCCTTCGACGCGGACGGTTTCACCCTCCATCACGTCTGGCTCCTTCACCATCTTTCCCAGCAAGAGGCATACATTTTTCGTTCCTTCCGCACCCTGAAAAGGAGTGAGCGTCTTGATGACCTTATTCTCCTCCCCAACCAGGGTAAGGTGATGGAATGTGTTGCCGCCTCTCGCGCGAGCTCCCACTTCCTGAGCAATGGGTTGTTTACCAGGTTCGCTGAGTGGAGATTCGTGCATCGTGCTCGCCTCACTTGGTTCCTCTCAACGCCGCCAAGCCTTGGGACCGCTCTCGTCGAGGATGCCGCCGCTGCTCGTCTACGTAAGAAACGCTTCCTCATGTGCTGAATCACTGCATGCGTTATTCTGCTGCATATCAGTCTCGACATAATGCAGTGGTGGACCGTGTGCACAAAGCTGCTGGCAATCGCTGGAACCTTCTCTCCGCCAATCAGGTTTTCCCGGGCACCAATCTTCGACCGGATCTCGTCCTCTGCAAAGACCGCTCCGCGATTGTAATTGACGTTACCATCTCCTTCGAGAACAGGCTGTCTGCTTTTTCTTCGGCACGAGAAGATAAGATCAACAAGTACCGCCCCGTAGTCGACCTGCTGAAGCGAGATTTCGCTGATGTTCGTTCCTACGCGTTCATTGTTGGCTCTCTCGGCGCATGGGATAAAGAGAACGACAAACTGCTCCGAAGGCTGTGCAGCAATAAATATGCCAACCTACTGAGGAAACTTGTTGTAAGCGAAACTATCCGCTACTCAAGAAATATCTACGTTGAACATCTCACTGGGATTCGCCAGATGTAATAGATTCCATCCCCGCCTCTGTGGTCTTGACTTTAAAAGGACTTATCACTTCCGCTGGACTCTTGCCCTACCTCTTGCTATGTTGAGATGAATATTCCCGGTTTTATGTATATAGTTCAGCAAATATTTTTTGCATCAAATATTTTCATTCAAGTAATGAAACTTAAATCGCACTGCGTGCGTTATTGGTATCTCATGCCATGGTTATACCAATATAATGTAAAATGGCAATAAACATTAGCAATAAAAAACTTCTGTTCTTATCAGCTTAATCTTACGTTTTATTTTGTTTTTATTTTTCAGATGTCCAGAAAATGCTGATGGAATAGTTTACTCGTCTGGTGGACGGAGCTGAAAGCGGAGTCAAGGTGGATCCTATGTAAGTTTTGCTTTCTTTCTATCTCTCCTCTCTCCCATTGACGCTTGATGGTTCGAACACGTTCTTTACTTGCGTTCAATGGGGCCCCTTCACCTGTGAGCGTGCAGGTTGCCTGTGAGCGAGCAGGTTCTTTCCCGTCTCCACCACTGAATATACTGCTTGCGGTAGATTTCGGTGCTGGGCGGGGCCTAACTTTCTCTTCTCCTTTCTTACTGCTTCGGCTGTTTTACAGTCGTTTCTAGTGAGAAATGGTTTCTCTTCTATCTCATCTCTTCTCGCTTTTCATTTCAGAAATACTCCGTTTACGGTGTCTTTCCTGTTTTGATAAGCTCTGAAATTTCCTTTCCGCTGCCTCACTCTTCCGGGTGGGCGTGGCTTCCGCCTTACTCTCTCCCTACTTTTCCTTCTTTTTCTTTTGCTCTTTCTCTACATTTCCTTCCTCTTCTTCTGCTCTTTCCTTATTTTCCTTCCTTTCCTTTTGCTCGTTTCCCTCATCTTTGTTTGCTTTTTATCTCCTCGTTCTTTTCCTCGTTTTTATCTTCCTCTTTTTTTTTGAGGTCCACCCAAGCTCCAATTGAAGCTCCTCCCACTGCCTCACTTTGATCTTGCCACCGAGTTTTTTCGTGCATCTTGCTGCCTTCCGTTTTGGTTTTGTTTGCTGTTCTTACAGATGTCTCTCCAGCATGCTGCTGACGCGTCCTCGACGCCTCGCCTGGCAGTGATGCCTCGCCCTCCTAGGATTCCCTCGCCGACTACGCCTGGTCTTCCACGGATGCCGCCGGCTCATTCTGGGCCCCATGCTGACGAATGTCAATCTCTGGATTTGCTCGCTGAGAGTCAAGGGTTCCTGCCTTCACCTCCATGTCTTCTCTCTTCAGTCGCCACTCCCACCCCGGCGTCTTCACTGCCATCTGCTCGCCGGCGCCATGTGGCTGCTTCTCCTGTTCCCTCTGGCCCTCCCTTGCTCAGAGGTGCTCCACTCTGCCAGATGCTTACAGTTCGTGCAAGGACCTCTTCTACCTCTCGCATTTCCGGTGATGTCATCCGCTCCAGCCCTGGATCCTCTCCGCCTTCTGCCAGACTGTCTTCTGTGGCTGCCGCTCCCGATCCTGTAGTGCCGCCTCCGGACGTCACTGCCGTCTCTGCTTCTGAATCTCCAGTGTGTCACCACACTCGTTCTCGTGCTGCTGCTGGACATTCATGCTTACCTCCGCCTTCCCTGATGCCTTCCTCCGTACATCCTGCTCAGGCTGCTTCCTCTCCTGTGTCGCTTTCTGCCGCCGGTGCTCTGGAGCCCGCTGTTACATCTGATGGATCCCGCTGTTACAAGACGGAACTGGAGCCCGCTGTTACAAGACGGAACGCCAGACCACTACCTATTCAGGTGCCCTCGGACAAATACCATGCATCTTTTCATGCCCACGAGCAACATAACTGCTTACCACCGACTGATAATAAAGCACAAGGGAAGCATTAATGCAATATGTAAAATTATAAAATTTATCGCGGCACTAGGTCAGGATATCTGCCAGCCCATTTATCAACATAAGGTTTTCCACTGCATTTATCCAGGAAACTACAATTTATACACACCTTATAGCATACCTTATATCTTATACCTAAAAATGGTGACAGAACTTAAATTATAAGTGAACTGAACACTTAGACAATTTTTTGCTTTGCGAACACACGAAATAGCTGTTTAATAAACTTGCACATGTTCTTATAACTTTTGGTTTGAGAACAAATATATTTAATGAACTTTAACGCTGTCATGTGTCCTTATTAGTTCTATACAAGCACAGTATTATGTGCTTTTGTCAGTATTATAACGACTCTGTAGCATGCCTTCCTATAAGCATCATATCAGCTCTCTGTATCATATGTTTCTATTAGCACTTATTACTCATATACTATCATATGTATCTTTGTCTACCTTAATATTTATTTGCACAATGTGTTTTATTCGTATTATATCTGCTTTGCTATTAGTATCATATCAGCTCTGCACCATGTATATTTATTGGCATCATATTTACTTTGTACCAAGTGTATTTACTCGTTCTTCACCTGTACTGCATCTACTCAGCACCATGTCATTTAATTAGCTCTATATTTGTTCTGCATCATGTATATACATTAATATCATATTTGCACTGCATTATGTGTTTCAATCGTATGACAGCCTAAGTTCGTGCACTATGAGTTGTCTAATCATAAGTTTTTTTTACACATATACTATCATATGCATTATATGAAACACCAACTGTTTACCCAAATATTTATCTGCATTAAATATTTTCATTTGTATTACATCTACTTTACATCATGCGTTCCTATTAGTACAACATATGCTCTGTACCATATGAGCCTATAAGCTATTTATCTGTTCTGCATCATGTATATTCATTAGTATCATATCTGTCCTGCATCAATGATTTTAATCGTACTATACCTGCTCAGCGGCATGTGGCCCTTTTTTTTCCTCATATATCTGATTTGCATCATACCTGTTCATTAGAACATAAACTGCACTGCATAATGTATTTTTCATGTATTTCTATTAGTATCATATCTGCCCCTATGTCACGTTTTTAATTAGCTCTAGATTTGCTCTGCATCATGTGTATATACCAGCATCATACCTGCTCTGCATAAAGTACCCTAATATTTATTTGTATCATATGCTCCTATTTGTATTATATCTGCTTTGCATCATGAGTTTCTATTAGTATAACATATGCCCTGTACCATGTGTATCATATTTATGCTTGCATCATGTGTTTCTCATTACTATTATCTCTGTCCTGCATCATGTGCTTTTTAAATAGCATCATCTCTGCCCAAAGTCATGTGTTTTTAACAGTATTATAGTTGTCCTGAATCATGTCTTTTATTTAGCTCTATATTTGCTCTGTATAATGTGTATATACTATTAACATATTTGCTCTGCATCATGTACTCCTATCATGTGTTAGCCTAGGTTCATGCACTATGAATTGTCTCCCCATAAGTATTATTACTCATATACCACCATCTGTTTCATATGTAAACCAAAAGTTCATTGCTAATATTATTTGCAACTGATGTTATTATCTGTCTTAAAACTGCCCTGCATCGTGTTTTTAATTAGTATACGCGCGTGCTTTATACTGGCAATGTTACACGCGTGCTTTATATCTGGCATGCACTGTGTTTTCACTATATCGCAGCTTTATCTCTGCTCTGCATCCTGTGATCTTACCAGTTTTATTACACGTTTTATATGTCACATAGTATTACATCTGCCCAGCATTATAGTTCTAACAGCATCACATGAATGCATTATTAGTACTCTATATAGCAGTCTGTGAGTATGTTCTGTGTATTTTAAGTGTGTTGTTATGTGTATTATGTCTTACATTTTTATGCCACCTCCACCCTTTTTTTTTTTTTAGATTTCCTGTAACAACCACTGTAATCCTAAAACTTTCAAATGTCATACACATCACTTGTAATGTAGACTATGTCAACCGCCCTTGTATGGCCATGTAACTTTCTCATTAAGATTCAAATATACTCCCGAGGCAGCCTGATGAGGCTCCAGGGAGTTGTTGCCACTAGATAGTGGAGGACGCGGGGCATATGCCTGTTTACCTATGTTAAACATGAGGCGCCCTCGTCCTCCGTCACCTGTCACCTGTTACATCTGATGGCTTTGCTGCTTCCCCTGATGCCGCTGTTCCTGATGCGCCCTGCTCTCCTTCCGGTTCTCCTCAGCCGTGCCCTGCTGAAGCTCCTCTTGTCACCTCCAGTACTACTGGCTCTTCCTTCGCTGCTGCTCCCTCTTCGGCTGTTCTTCACGCTCCTGTCTCTGCGACGACGACTCCCACGCCTGGAGGCCCTCGATGCTCTTCATGTGGTAAGGTGTGTCTCAGCAAAAGACATCTTCGCTTCCATCGTTACCGCCGACATCGCCGTTCATCTCTCTCTGCGTCTCCCGGTGCCGATGCTTTCGTCACTCCTGGTCCTTCGCCTTCCGGTTCTCCGACTCTTCCTGCATCGCCTTACAGTCCCAGTGCTCCTTCCGGCCCTCCTCCTGGCCCGCTGGGCCCCTCTTCGACTTGTCGGATTGACAACACTCTTCACTTGGTTTTCCCTGTAAGTGACGTGTTCATCTGCACCGAGCCCAACTGCAGCCTCCTCTTCCGTTCCGGCTCCTGGTCTCGCATGAAGAAATCCCTTACCAGGCACATCCTGCAAGAACACCTCATACACATCTCCTCGTGCATGAAGTGGTGTGGTCTCTGCAGCTCTATTCTCGCCAACAGGGTTTCTTCCCACTCCTGCTTTCGCACCACTCCTCCTGTTTCCTCCTCCGGCGCCTCCTTCCAATGGAAATGCTCCGTGTGCTATTTCTCCTGCCCTTCCAGGAAAGGTCTTTTCAATCACTCGGCTTTCCACCAACGTGCTTCACGGAACGCTGCTGCCAACAACATTCCTCTTCCATTGCCTGTTGCTCAGAGACGAAGACGACGTCGACCTGCGCCGCCAGACTCCTCGCCCACTGCTGCTGCTTCAGTTCGCTCCCACGTTCCTGCTCCTGCTGTCGCTCCTTCGCCTCCTTCACCGACACATGCTGTGAATCCTACCGACTCTCCGCTGGTCTCCACACCTACTGCTTCACCTCTTCCGGATGTTCCTGCTTCCCCTTCAAGGTCCACTGCTTCTCCGTTGGATTCTCCCTCCTCTTCTCATCCCTCCCTTCCGCTGTCGCCGTTAGACGTTCCGAGCAGTGCTGTTACCGATCCTCCGGTCCTTCCTGATGATGCTTCTGCTCTTGATGTCTCCACTCTGCCCTCAGATGAGTTGTTCCGCCTTCCTTCTGTTGACGATGTCTCCTCCGATCCTCCTCTTCTCCTGCACAGGGACTCTCTTCAGTGCTTTGCTTCCGGACCCACCGACGACTCTTCCTGGTGCTCCTTTGAGTCCTGTCCACCGCCGAAGGGCCATGCGTCTCCTCACTTCTGAATGCTCTCCTTCGTGTCCCATTCCTGCCGAAGACATCGCCGCGGAGTTCTCTGAAAGGCTTGCCTCGAGAGATGCAGATGTCTCCATCTTCACTTCCTGCCTCCCGGATCGTCCTCCCCTTGACCTGTCACAGTTTTCTCCCGCTAAAATCCAGGCCAAACTCAGGTCATGCGAAAATTCTGCTCCGGGTCCTGATCGTCTCTCCTACTCCCACTGGCGGGAGCTCGATCCTGAGTGCAGAATTCTATGTGACATCTTCAACATCTGTCTGCGCTTCAAGCGGATTCCGTCTTCGTGGAAGTCTTCGAGGTCTTTCCTGATTTTCAAGCGAGGTGATCCTTCCATCCTTGACAACTGGCGTCGATCGCTCTCAGTTCTTCCATAGCACGTCTCTTCTCTGGCTGCCTCGCCAAACGTCTGACTGCATGGCTCTGCGACAACGATGTGCTCTGTTCCTCCCAAAAAGGGTTCATGCCGCATGATGGTATCCTCGAACATCACTTCATCGTTCAGCAGCAACTTCAGCTCGCTCGCCGCCGGAAGTCTACATTGTGCCTCGCGTCCCTGGATATCGCCAATGCGTTTGGCTCCATTCCACATGTCGCCCTCTTCACTGCTTTTCGCACGTCCGGAGTTGGTGAGGGTTTTCTCTCCTTGGTTCAAGATCTCTACCGGGAGTCTTCTACCTGCTTTCTCTCCTCTGACGGTGTCTCTGGTCCCGTGAAATTCTGTGCTGGCGTTCGTCAAGGTCGCCCTTTGAGCGGCCTGCTGTTCAATCTTGCCATCGATCCCGTGCTCCGGTCCATCGTTTCTCCTCCTGCTTCTCCACGCATCCTCGCCTTTGCCGATGATGTCCTGCTGTTGGCTCCTTCTCCTGATATTCTCCAACATGACTTGGACTCCATTTCTGACTCCTTCTCTCGTCTTGGTCTGCACTTGAATCCCAGCAAGTGTCACTCGCTTCACTTCTCCGCCGCTCGTCCTGCTGGATCCCGTTCCACTATGTTTTACATCAAAGGCTCCCCTCTCAGGGCTCTCCACGATGGCGAATTTTTCCGCTTCCTTGGGAAGCCCATCGGGTTTCACCTTCCTCCCTGCCGGGCTCAGTTGCGTGACTTCCTTCTCCTCGCTGAAAAGATCATGGAGTCGAAGCTTGCTCCGTGGCAGCGTCTGGATGCCCTCAAGTGCTTCTTCTTTCCTTCTCTCCATTTCCATATGAGGACTGGACTGCTTAGCAAGGGAGACTGGAAAAAGATCGATGACTTCCTGCGGCCTGCCATCAAGAAGACACTCAACCTTCCTCCCGAGGCGTCCAATAGTTACATCTATGGCTTGTCTGGTAAGGGTGCCCTCGGAGTCCCTCTTTCCGCAGAAGATTCTGACATCGCTGCAGTGGATGACGCCTTCAAGCTCCTTTGTTCCAAGGACTCCTACGTTCGTGGTCTTGCCTGGGAGGACCTATGTACCTACATCCATGCTCGCATTGGCGAGACGCCGTCTCATTCTCTTGTAGGTCTCTTCCTCTCGGCCTCCGATGATGCTCCCTTTGCTTCCTCCACGAACCCCATTTCCTCGATGTGGTCGGCCGCAAGGTCGGCCTCTAGACGTCTCAAGGTCTCCTGGTCCTTCGACGCAGACGGTTCACCCTCCACGACGTGTGGCTCCTTCACCATCTTTCCCAGCAAGAGGCATACCATTTTTCGTTCCTTCCGCACCCTGAAAAGGAGTGAGCGTCTTGATGACCTTATTTCCCTCCCCAACCAGGGTAAAGTGATGGAATGTGTTGCCGCCTCTCGCGCGAGCTCCCACTTCCTGAACAATGGGTTGTTTACCAGGTTCGCGGAGTGGAGATTCGTGCATCGTGCTCGCCTCAACTTGGTTCCTCGCCAAGCCTTGGGACCGCTCTCGTCGAGGTTGCCGCCGCTGCTCGTCCACGGAAGAAACGCTTCCTCATGTGCTTAATCACTGCATGCGTTATTCTGCTGCCTATCAGTCTCGACATAATGCAGTGATGGACCGTGTGCACAAAGCTGCTGGCAGTCGCTGGAACCTTCTCTCCGCCAATCAGGTTTTCCCGGGCACCAATCTTCGACCGGATCTCGTCCTCTGCAAAGACCGCTCAGCTATTGTAATCGACGTCACCATCTCCTTCGAGAACAGGCTGTCTGCTTTTTCTTCTGCACGCGAGGATAAGATCACCAAGTACCGCCCCGTAGTCGACCTGCTGAAGCGAGATTTCGCTGATGTTCGTTCTTACGCGTTCGTTGTTGGCTCTCTCGGCGCATGGGATAAAGAGAACGACAAGTTGCTTCGAAGGCTGTGCAGCAATAAATATGCCAACCTACTGAGGAAACTTGTTGTAAGCGAAACTATCCGCTACTCAAGAAACATCTACGTTGAGCATCTCACTGGGATTCGCCAGATGTAATTGACTCCATCCCCGCTTCTGTGGTCTTGACATTAACAGGACTTATCGCCTACCGCTGGACTCTTGCCCTGCCTCTTCCTATGTTGTGATGAATATTCCCGGTTTATTTGTAAATATGTATATAGCTCTGTAAATAGTGACTGTATCAAATATCTTCCCTCAAAAAATGAAACTTAAATCGCACTGCGTGCGTTATTGGTATTTTATGCCATGGTTATACCAATATGATGTAAAATGGCAATAAGCATTATCAATAAAAAACTTCTGTTCTTATCAGCTTAATCGGTGGACTAGTTGCTTGTGTCCCTGTGACAGCCTCATAGCACCGGTTGAGCGGATTGAACGCCGAAGGCCGAGTCGCCTTCCACTAATTTTGCCCTACTATTTTACTTTTTCAGGTGTAGTGGTGGATATTTTCTGATGATGGGTTCGTCGCCGCCTCGTGCTGCTCCCAGGCCAAGACCACGCCCACCTCCCGTTGCTGGAAGTCCTGGTTCACGTTCGCCGCCCTCTGGAGGTTCCCCGCTCGCTGCTGGTGACTCCCTGGCTGGACTACTACTGGATGGAGCCCCCTGGATACCGAGGATGCCTCTAGATGCCCTGGTCCCCTCTCAAGGAGGAGTTCCCTTGTTCCCGCTGGAGGTTCCCCTTCGTGCCATATTGGTTCTACTGGTGGATGGAGCTGCCTGGACCATCAAGACGCGTCTAGATGTTCCGGTTCACCGCCTGGTCCAGTGTCTAGGAGCGATTTTCAAGTTCCCGCCGGATCCTCAAGTTTCCTGCCCGCTGAAGGTTCCCTGCTTCCTGCTGGTGATGCCCCGGCTGCCCAAGATGGTTTTACGACTGGACGGAGCCCCCTGGACTTCAAGGAAGCCTCTGGATGTTCGGTTTCCCTGCCTGGTCCCGGCCTTAGAAGAAGTTCTCTTGTTCCTGCAGGACGCCCACAATCGCCGTCTGCCACAAGTGCTCCAATGACGACAACGACCCTGTGCAGGAGTCAGCTTGCTCATGACCACTCTAGATCCAGCGCCTCTACGACCGGCAGGACTTCCCCGAGGACGCAACAGTCATTGCTGCCCGCAGTTACCACGCCCTCCGGATTCGCTGCCCCTACTCGTCATGTTGCTGCATTTGTCACGCCCACCGGCCCACAGCTTACCATAAGTGGTCATCTCCGACAACTTTTGGACAGGATTCAATCAGGATCACCCGCTCGGACTAGTTTCCTGGCTCCCGGTGTTCCTGCTGCTTCTCCAGGTCCATCCACATCAATAGAAGTACCTGTTTCTGCTCCTCCTCCTGCTGCCCTTCCAGGCCCATCCACATCAGTAGAAGTACCTGTTTCTGCTCCTCCTCCTCCTGCCTCAGACTCCGGCACTATTGGACATCGCGCACCTCCTCTATTTCCATGCCATGTTTGCTATAGACGCTTCACGGAACGCAGGAGATTGAAAAAACATCTACGGACCCATAACCTGCCTGCTTCTCAGTCTTCCTCGGCTACATCTAGTGAAGCCACGCCCTCCGATACCTTCCAGGCAAAAGATTCACCAGTCTGCCATCACACGAGGTCTCGTGTCGCCGCCGGCCATGCCTTCCCGATTTCTACCTCTCCACCAAGGTTAACCTATGCCGAAGTCGTCTCTTCGCCTCCTGGTGGTTCCTGTCCACCAGAGCCCCGCCCTCCTGCCTCACCAGTGCCAACGCCTGCCGGCCCAGTTTCTTCTGTTCCTGTGTCAGGTACTGATGTTTCTCCAAGATTCCTGAGGACGCAGAATGATGATACTGCCCAAGACGACCCCGGTTCTCCGCTTGTTCCTGCTGCAGCAAACTTACCACCCGCTGTCATCTGCTCCGCCTGCCAGAAGGCCTGCCTGAATAAGAGACAACTGAGGTTCCACTGGTATCGTCGTCACCGGTCTGCCCCGCCTCCTGCCTCCCCAAGTGCTGAGAAATTTATTACTGACAGTCGCCCTGACGATATCTCTTCTCAGTCTCCCTCTTCGTCTGACATATTTGGACCCCATGGGCCATCCTCCACCTGCCGGTGTGATTCTTTTCTCCACCTCGTCTTCCGGGTCAGCGATGTGTTCTCTTGCACAGAGCCGCACTGCCGCCTGCTCTTTCGCTCAGAGTCTTGGTCCAGAATGAAGAAGTCGCTCACCAGGCATCTCTTCCAGGAGCATTCGGTCCTCATTTCTACCACCATGAAGTGGTGTGGACTTTGTCGGTCTCTCCTTGTCAACAAAGTTTCTACACATGCATGCTTCCGGACCACGCCCATCGTAATCTCGTCCGGCACTTCCTTCAAGTGGAAATGCAACTGGTGCCAGTTCTCCTGCCCTTCAAGGAAAGGACTACTCAACCACACGGCTTTTCATCTCAGAGAACAGAGGAATGCGGAATCTAATGCCATCACTCTCCCCGCTCCCATCGCTTCAAGGCCAACACGTCCAGGGCCTTCGTCCGCTCCGTCTTCCAATGCGGTCACTCATCCTCCTCCGGACAGCCGGACAGCACAGCCAGAACTTCCACCACATTCTTCGTCATTTACTCCTCCTGATGGTGCGCCATTGCCTCCTGCCCATGCTGAAGACTCTTCGCCCACTGGAGCCGCCGCGCCTCCTCATCATCCTTCTCCTATTGCTGTCGTCGATACCTCTGCAGTCGCCCCTGGCACCACCTTCCAGGCCCATGCTGTACTCTACACTTCCTCACATCCTACTTCTGCCCGCCACACCCCTGCTGTTGGTTCCAACTCTTCGAGCCCTTGCCTGTCTCTCCAGGACACCGGTTCCCTGTTGGAAAGCCCAAGGTTCGAGTCCGAAGCAGCTGGTGTTGCTCCCGCTCTCGATGATGATGATGGTCCCGCAGATGCCGCTATTGAAGATGATGCTGCCATGGACTTCGTGGATGAGGATCCTGTCACCGTTGCTGATGCCTTCCCTAACGACCCCTCCTTCATTCCCGCCGTTGAGGACATCCTTGTTCAGGAATCACCACTGACTGCCTTTAGCGAAGAGCTGCGTTCCTTCCTCAACCTCTCGCCCACTGACGACAACTGGTCAGCGTTTGAGGAATGTCTGGGAAAAGTGGTAGACTCTACCTGCACTGTGGCCAAGCTTCCACCTCCAGCTCCTGCCTCAGGTCCTTTTCAGCGCCGCACTACCAACTTAAGTAATCCAAAGGTAGTCCAGCGCTTGTACCGAAGGAATCGGCGCCGGGCTATCCGCCTCATCACTCAGGGTGAATCCACCTTCTGCGAAATCCCAGCGGAGGAAATTGCCGCCCACTACAGTGATAAATATACTGCCGATGACTCTGACACCTCGGTGTTCCTCCCGTGTGACCCATCTCGTCCTGAAGTTAACATGTCTCCGTTCACTCCCACCGAAGTACTTGCAAAGTTGAGAGCCTGCGAAAACTCCGCACCGGGCCCCGACCGACTTACCTATAGACACTGGAGAGAGGCCGATCCAGAATGTAAGACTCTATGCGACATATTTAACACCTGTCTCCACTTCAAGAAGGTTCCTGCATCTTGGAAGTCATCCCGTTCCTTTCTTCTCTACAAAGGCGGTGTTCCATCTGTTCTCGGAAACTGGAGACCAATCGCATTGAGTTCCTGCATCTCCTGCCTCTGTACTGGATGTCTTGCAAAGCGTGTCTCTGATTCGATCGCCACAAATGATGTGCTAAGCCCCAGTCAAAAGGGATTCCTTGCCCACGATGGAGTCTTCGAACATAACTTTCTTGTCTCTCAACAGTTCCAGCTCGCCAGAAGGATGAGGACGGATCTCTGCCTTGCTTCCCTTGACCTGGCGGATGCATTCGGATTCGTTCCCCACTCTGCCATTTTTGCTGCCATCACTGCCTCTGGTGCCGGAAATGACTTCCTCTCCCTTGTCAAGGATCTTTATTCCGGCTCTACTACATGTTTCGCCTCTTGTGACGGAATATCTGGCCCAGTGGAGTTCAACGCTGGAGTACGGCAGGGATGCCCCCTTAGTGGCCTCATCTTCAATCTGGTCGTCGACCCTGTGCTTCGCTGTATTGACTCGCCTGACAGTGTCCCTTCAGTTCTCGGATATGCAGATGACATCCTTCTTCTCTCAAGTTCACCTGACACTCTACAACTTAACATCAACAAGGTCCATTCACTCTGCTCTGGGATCGGCCTTCACCTGAACGCCAAGAAGTGTAAGTCCCTTCACTTTTCCGGAAAGTTACGTTCTGGAGTACGTCCGACTGACTTTCTCGTGGATGACGCCCCGATCTGCAAGTTGAAAGAAGGAGAACACTTCCTCTTCCTCGGGAAACCTGTCGGCTTTCACCTGCCCCCCGACCGCGCACAGCTTCGGGACTACCTCAACATGGCCAAGAAAATCATGGAATCTTCGCTCGCCCCTTGGCAGCGGATAGATGCCCTCAAGACATTCTTCTTCCCCTCCCTTCTCTTCTCCATGCGTACTGCACAACTCTCTAAGGGAGACTGGAGAAAAATTGATGATTTCCTGAGGCCCGCCGTGAAGCGCACCCTCAACATCCCGAAAGAAGCATCCAACAATTACCTCTACGGGCTGTCCGGAAAAGGCGCGCTTGGCCTCCCCCTTGCGTCTGAGGACTCTGATATCGCTGCTATTGACGGGGCTTTCAAGTTGCTCACCTCCACGGATCTCGCCGTACGACAGCTTGCGTGGGAAGACTTGACCTCTTTTGTTCAAGCTCGGCTCCAATGCCCCACTTCTCCAGAGCTCATCGCCCAATTTTTTTCTGCTGCCGATGATGGTCCTTTCGCTGGAACCACCAACCGCATTTCATCCATGTGGTCTGTGCAAGGGCCGCCTCTCGCCGATTGAATATTACCTGGAGTATCGATAATGAACATCTGCCCTCCATCTCCTACGCCAGCAAGAGGAACTCCATCTTCAAGTCTATAAGCCACCACATGCGCTCTGTCCGTTTACAAGACCTTGTCAGTCTCCCTAATCAGGCAAAGC